AGGATGTGATTGGCTACTGAGAAATAGCCCCCCCCCACGTGGGGTACCGTGCTAGGTGATGCCTTTGAATGCCATGGGATATTTTAGCATCTCTGATGTCATGAACTATAAATTAAAGAAAATGACTCTAGCCCTTTTCTCCGTTCCCTTTTGTCACTTTTTTCCACCTGGGCTACAGCAGCATCTAGTTATAGATGTGCATATATTTTGGTTGAACACTAAGATTAACTTGGAAGTTAAATCTTTCAGTTTTAGTTGGACCAAAGTGAGCAAATGTTTATTGCCCACCCCAGTAGGGTTGGGAAATATCTTATTTACTCAGATATTATTTTGGCTGTTATATACTGGTTATGAACACATGCCCTACTAGCTATTTGTTAGAAAAATAAATGAAAGAGTGATTCAAGCTCTAATCATGGTCATGCAGTTAATTCTGTGAATACATGGAATAAATTCACCACAACTTCTGTTCAAAATATAAGAGTTTATTAACAAAAATCATTCAGCTCCAAGTCAAACATATTTCAGTTTAAAATTCTCAACTAAGACTAGTGAAACTCAACTAAACTAAACTACTATGTAAAAGGAGGAAGGGGAAGCATGGTTGAAAACCATATTACAGTTTCAGATGGATTTTGTGTTTGAAACCAAAGTTTATCTGAAAGAATTTGAGATATGATCAAATTAGCTTTTCACTATTTTAACGAAATTTGAATGTTTTCAGACAAATTCACAATGCAAATCCATGAGGTGAATAAAACATTATTTAGCCAATTAATGTTTTATTAAATTATTTGCTTAATCAAGAACCAATAACCTTTAGTTAAATGATTCTTTACCCTCTTTGAAATAGCTAGCAGCGAATAGACATCAGGATTCCACTAAATGACTCTTGGTCATACTTGGTAATCGAATGTAACATGAACTCTAATGTTATACCAGTGTTTAAACCCTTTTGTGAAATAAAGCTTGTTCAAGCTTCAGCAACAGCTCAACACATATTCCTGTAGCATAGCGTAGCATGCAGTTCATTCAGTTAGTGTTGTCTTTACTCATCAGTAAACACATGTTGTTTGTTCTGTCCCTAATCATGCCAGACCTGCAAACTTTTTTTCCATGTCTAGTTGGAAAGCTTGAGTTACATCCAGCTGGAGCTCGGCAGTCAGGGGATCAACCACGGGTTGTTTGTCTCAGTCTCACAGCAGGAGTCTCCTTTTTCACAGGCTCACACCCAGGGAATGGTTATCATCTAGTCTGTCTCTATAAGTTCTGAAACTCAATAGAAATGTGTTGCAAAAGTTCTGTCTTGCAGTAGTTTGGTTCTGAAAGGTTCTGGGGTTGGTGGGGCTGCAGAAGACCCCCAGCTGTTATTCATCAAAGTTTACCTATGGACATTCGTTCCCAATGTCCAAAAGCCATGATCATGGCATATGCCTCAACATTGGCAACGGTATTATTCCGGTATTGGCTGTTATTCATCTTTTTTTCATGCATGAATGTTTTTATACATGAATGTTTTGAACCCTTTATAAATAATGCACTAAAAGGCATCTGTCTAACTACAGTACCTATAAATATCAGTGTATTTTGATACTTGTGTTCTCAAAAATAGGAAAACGTTCAATAAGTATATGTTTTAGTTAATTTTTGGAAAATACAAACCCTATTTAAAGCGTTTGGGTCGAGTACCTGTAGGTCCATCAGCAGCCACCCAAGTGCTCTCACTAACTTTTATCACTAAGTTACATCCTTGTTTTAATGTAATGTTTTGTCCATTCTATACACTTAGAGAGAAGAAAAATAAGCTTTGATATGAAGTATTTGTAATATATTTATATCTTAATAAAAAGTGTATCCATGCTAATATTTGTACACTTTAAAAAACTATGATTTTGCAAAACGCTAGTTACTAATCTAAATAAACATCATTGCTCATCTACAGGTTCTCTGAATCCAGTAAAGCAAAAAACATTGCCAAGTGGAGAGGGACAAAGCAGCAGAGTCCTTTCTAAAAAAAGGAGTGCAGTTACACAGCCAAGGACATCTCAGACACAAGGCTATTACTAAAGCGATAATACAGGACTTATTGATTTTATGCAACCTTCCACTATCTTTGTCAAGTAACCACAGTAACCAAATGTCTAAGTAAGCTTGCTGCAGAAAAAGTGTCTAAGATCACATCCAAGTTAATCTTTTCAGTGATGGAGATGGAAACACAAAGGGAAATAAGCAAGCATGCCTAAGTAAATTTTTGCACTTATTTTGATTAAACATTAAATTACAATTTGTTGGGCAAATACATTTTTTTTGCAACAGGCATACTCAATACTTGAGACTGGACTTGGACTCGAGCTCTCAAGAATTGAGACTTGACTTGGACTTGCAAAAAATGACTTGTGAACATGTCTGCTATACACACACCCTTGAATTGGATTCAGAATATTTGGGGCTTCATAATCTTCCCTAGGAATTGGGACACCCCTCGCACATTTGGTATGGAAGCGACTGCGTATTCATGTATGCACAAGATGTATGAATAAGAAACATCCCACCATAAGAGAGGAGAGAAACATAAATAATGTTGACAAAGGTTTGTGTCATGATGTTTTAAAGAGATCTGACTCACATGCAGGAAACCACTCAGAGAAACCAGAGTAAAAGTTTAACAGGTTTATTCAGGAGTCCATATGGGTTGGATTCAGGTGAACTCAGAGGGCTGGTGAACCGAAACTGGAAGTAAGAGGGAAAGTTCACAGAGGTTAGTTCAGGGTCCGTGGGAACTTCTTGCAAAAACCGAGGTAAACTGGACTAACGTTTGCAGAGAAAGGTTTCTTCCCAGTATCCAGTCAGTGTGGGTTTTTCCAGAGATAGAGTGGCTCGTTGGAGGGCGGACAGGTTTTGGTTTGGTTGGTTTCTGAGGAGCAATGGAGCGGACTGCCACTTAGATTTCCAGGAGTACTTGAACGGGACGTGTGGAGATAAATCCTCTGCTCAGTGTGAAGCTCAAACAAATCCTTCCAGGGGGGAAAAGGCCAATAATCCAGTATGCAGGATGACTTCCTGCCGAAAGGCAAAAGATAAAAACAATGTTAGAACTCTGAGAAACAAAGACTCAGTTAGACTCAGCTAAACTCAGCTCGGCTAGAGTACCCAAAACTGGCAAACACTCTGGCGTCAAGGTAGTTACAGTCCGCCGCTCAAATACTCCCCAGTGATGAGCCAACCAGCCGCAGGTGTGCAGGAAGACCAACGACGACAGGCACCACCTGGTGGTGGAGGGAGAGAAAAACACCAAAACACAACCCACACAGACTGGATTCCTAACAGTTTGAAAGTGGCTTCTACAAAGCCGTTAAAATTTATGACCATTTCACGCTACTGAAAAGCTTTCATACATACTACTAAAAAGCTTTCATACACATTACTAAAAAGCTTTCATACATACTACTAAAAAGCTTTCATACATACTACTAAAAAGCTTTCATAAATACTACTAGAAAGATTTCATACACACTACTAAAAAGCTTTTATACATACTACTAGAAAGCTTTTTAGTATTGTATATGAAAGGTAAAGCTTTTCATCAGTTTATATGAACAGTTCTCACTCAGAGAGAACTGTTTTGCAAATCTTTTTTAAGTTTTCTTTTGAGGTTATTTCTCTAGCTTGTTGATTTGCCCCTTTGCCAGTGTTAAACTTTGGTTTTTGCATTGTGGTAAGGTTTGTGACGTTTATCTGGGGGTTCTGGTTTTTGTTCTGTCGAGTCATTAATTTCTTTATCCTGGGGAACCACTGGGGAAATTAATGTGCATCTCTTTCTGGTCCTGTTCTTTGTTTGAAGGACTAAGACTCCAAGTTTACTTTTAAATCTGTCTGATTTGAGGTGTGTTTCAAAAACAAGCTGGGCATACATGTGAATCTCCTGCATAGAAATGTTCTCTGTCCTGCAATACATTGCTACATCACATCATACACTTTTATGTAGAGTTTGAACAATGACTTTAATGTAGAATCTTCATCGTCAAGATCTGGAGAACAGCAGCCCTCAAAATAAACCTCTCTCAAGCAAAAGTAATATTCTCTGTGTGTTTCCTGTTCCTCTTGGAGAACTAAATATACCCCAAGCATGGCTAAAGCCTGATCTCTGTAAACAGAATATTCCTTGTTAAGGTTTCATGGAGATCTGAATATTTTTTTTTTTCAGAATTGTGGACGAAGAGATTTTATGAAAACATAGATACTTCTAGTTGTTGTTTTCCAAATCAGCTTCAATTTGTCACGAGAAGACGGAAATGTCTTTTAAACAGAGCTCAACTTCTTGCAGGTAATCAGTTATGTTTGAGTATTGACTCTCTGGATCAAAGTTGGAGAGTAGTATCACTCTGGCCCTGGTTTCCTTTGATCTTTTCAATTTCTTCTGCCCTTATTTCAGCTTCTGATAATAAAAGTTTTGCAGCACAAATTTTTTCTAAAGTCTTTTGATATTTGGCTTGCAACTTAGAGTACTGCTTAGCTTTTAATTGGAATCCAAATCTTTTGAGTTGGATTTTGAATTAAATTAATTAATTCTTGAATCTTTTCTTCACATAGAATAAAGGTTAATGCTGTTTAGGTTTTCCAACTCATCCAGCTAAACTGTCATCTTTCCCAACAAATGTAATCTTGAGGCGATTTCGATATACCATTTCTACACTGTCAGAGTTATGTAAGGATAGACCTTAGAATTTAGATTTTTGTAACTCAGTGCTTTACACTGGGGGCATGGACCATGGCAATGGCTTACACCAGTACAGGGGAAAGAAAAAAAATCTAAGTATGATTTCCATACTATTTTAACCACATTGTATTCTCTAAAACCCTTTTTAAGTTTTTTACATTGTAAACTACATTACAAAAATGCTGGTTCTGTTGGCTTGATCATATTCTTAGTGCATTGTTTTGTAGCTTTTTTTTTTATCATGACTGTCGTGTGTTAAATGGCTATTTGTGTTGATCTATAGGTTCCAAGGGATGTTCAAAGTCCAGGCTGTAACACACCCTGTGTTACAATCATCAGTCATGCCAACTGTGCATCAGAACACAACCCCAGGAAACACCGGTCTGCTGGCACCAAAATAGTATTTTTTATATTGCTTCAGTACAGCTATCCCTGTTTCACTCACTAATGCATATCTCCTGAGTACCCATAAGTAATGGTCTGATATAGAAATCGTTTGGTACATAGGTCAATAATTCAATTTCCACATTGGCAGTGGCAGCAGCTTCTAATATTTGACACTACATGTTCTCACAACTCATGAGCAGCACGATGATACCAACCACGTACAAACCCATCGTGACCTCGAGGAAGCTTTGGGGCTGAAAACAGTTTCTGATTAATCTTTTAGACATCGTGTGTGTCTGGCAATTATCATTGTCTTCTCATTGTATCAAGCAGATGGACCAAATATTCCATGTTCAAACTATTACTTGTGGGTGTTTACAAGTTTTGACTTCCAGCTCTCTTTACTAACCTTGTTGTGTGAATTTACTGCCTTGAAGCTACTCTTAAATAAGGTGAAACGTTACCTTTTTTTTTCTCTTTCAGTCCTTAGGGGACAGTCAGCCCAGCTGATTAGAGTCAATGGCTCCAAAACACTCCTGTCATCTGCTTATTTGGAACATCGCACTAAAGCGAAAGAGGTCAGTTATTCTTCTGAGCGACAGAAATCAGGAACTTCGATGTGACAATCAACCAACAATAATGAAAACATACTGCCTAAAAAAGCAGCCTTCTTTTGATCAAGATTATTTCCAAATAAAACCCTGATATTCTGATATTCCCCTAAAATCCAGCACAACTAACTACCATAACAAGGCACCTACTTAACAAATAAAGTTTACACAAGATTTTAGACTTAGAAAAAACAAAATTCCAATGCATACAGCTTTTCAACAGTGAATGAGCAGCTTAGCAGTGAAATTATTTCCCTAAAATATTTTCATTTAAAACACTCAGAGGTGATCAAAATGTAAACAGTGTAGGAGAAAAGGAAGACAAGTTTAAAGACATGGTGGAAAAGGCATTGATATGGAAGGTTCAGAGCAGTGCAAAGTAAATAAATAAACACGGTGCAAAATGCAGTAGAACACTGAGTTGAGTTCTATTTAAAGAGATTTGAAAATTCACCATGTAGTGCAAATATGATGTTTACAGGTGTGATGCATGAGTCTCAATTTGTGACTTTACTTTAGTTTTAACAGCGCATCAGTCTGATGGTAGCAGGGAAAAAGCTGTTACAGAACCTGCAGGTCCTGCATCAAATGCTGCGAAGCCTCTTCCCAGAGGGCAGCAGGGAGAACAGTCCATGGTGGGAGTGTGAGGGGTCGCTGATGATGTTACCGGCTCGGGATAAAATGTATTTAATGGAGGGAAGAGGAGCCCCGATGATCCTCTCCTCTGTTCTCATCACTCTTCTCACTTTCTTCCAGTCTGAGGTACTGCAGCCTCCACACCACACAGTGGTGGTTGTGTAAGGTCGTGAGGATAGGTGGGGCAGGTGGGCTCTCTTCTTTCTCTGCAGGAAGTACATGCGCTTCTGTGCCCTTTTGACCAGTGAGGTAGTGATTATAGTCCAGGTGAGGTTTCTGTGATGTGCACACCCAGGATGAGGATGAGGAAAGCCCACCTTCCCCCACCCATCCTCCCCACCTTCTACAGAAGCACCATAGAGAGCATTCTGACCAGCTGTCTCACTGTGTGGTGTGGAGGCTGCAGCACCTCAGACTGGAAGAAGGTGAGAAGAGTGATAAGAACAGCAGAGAATATCATTGGGGCTCCCGAGCCCGTTACATCATCAATGACTCCTCACCCCCCACCATGGACTGTTCTCCCTGCTGCCCTCGGGGAAGAGACTTTGAAGCATTGGATGCAGGTCCAGCAGATTCCACAACAGTTTCTTCCCCACTGCCATTAGACTGCTGAATGTTTAGTAGAATGGGTTATTGTAATGTATTTTAAGATTATATTTATTATATTTTATCATTATATATATGTTTTAAAAAAATATTAGAACTGTAAATTTACAGTTATTTTTACTATTTTTCAATGCTGCACGTTTAAAAAGATTAAATTGTCCAGTGAGCTGTTTCCAAATGAAATTTATTTTTGTTTTACACCTGTGTAAACAAAACGACAAGTAAAATCTGTCTAAAGTCTAAAAGTCTAAAAGGTCTTGAAACTTTACTGCCAATCTCTCCTTCCACTTCTCTCTTGTCATTTATCTAGACTTTGTTTTTTTTGCAAGAAATAGCAGTTGCATAGATCCATCTATTGATCTCCCGCTCCATTCAAAAGGGAAACATGTTGAGATACCTATGATTATTTTTTAAAGCTTGTTTTATATAAATAACATTAGACAACATGGCATTATGAAGAAGAGTAATTGCTGAATAACTCTGATCTTGTATTGTTAGAGGCTCAGAATGTGGGACCTAGAATTCAAGCAAACAGATCATGGTGATTTCAAAACAAGCATTTAATAAAAACTAAACGTGCGGCTGCCCGTCAGCTTGGGCAGGATGGCTGGATACTCTATAGATGGAAACTCAGGTTAGTGAGATCAGATCTCAGACGGGAAATAATAATGAGCATGTGAGTCAATGACCTGGTTTATGTTTTGTCTGAGGCCAGAAAAGGGAGTTAAGTCAAGCCACTTCCAGAGTTCCAGGATAGACGCAGAGCAACGACGAACAGAAGCAGAGCAGGCAGAGAAACATAAGAATCCGGGGGGATAATCCAAAGGCAGAGTCGAAGCAAGAACAGGTTTTCAGGTCAGAAGATCGGAAGTCCTGACAGGCAACAAAGAGATTTTCAAGCCGGGGTCAGAAGAAAGGTCCAACATCCTTAGCACGCAGAATCCAGGTACAGGATTCATATCAAGTGAAATCAGCAGAAGGGGCAACCAAAACTCAGAAGTCCATGGACAGAAACTAGTCAGGATCAAGTAATCAGAAACTCCCAGGTATGCCAGAAAACTCTCACATCCGGCTCAAATAATCTGGCAACAATGGCTGGGAACAGGCAGCTTCAATAGAAAGTAGGAACAGGTGGATCTGATGAGTGACAATGAGCACTGGGCTGACCTAAGCAGATATAAGAAAGAGTCCAATCCAGCCATCAGTGCCAAGATCATGACATAAATACTAATTCTGCAAACAGAAAGTTTTTTATTTTAAGCTTCCCCAGTCAAACACTACTTTGTCGATGGCATGGCAATGAAAACCAAAATTACCTATGGATGTGTGTGTGTGTGTGTGTTATTCTGTGTGAGGGAGCAAAAATGTCTCTCTGAGTGATCAGCATAGCCAGAAAAGCACTATATAATTCCCATCCATTTACATGTGGAAAATATTTCTTAGGATAAAGCTTTAAATAAATATTATACCAAACTCATTTTACAAAAAAGGCTGTTAAAAACCACCAGACAAAACAACCACAAACCAGCCTTTTTATTTAAATAACCAGTGCAACTGCAGTGATGTCCTACTGTAGATTGTCATGATTTTATTAAAGTTCTGACCCAAAATGCAGAAGACCAAACAGAGAGACCGGGGAAAGGTTTAACAGGTTTATTAGTTGAATGAAATGTCCAGTACTGCTCAGAGTAGAATGAAATAAGTCCAGTGCTGCTCAGAACACTGCTCAACCAGAGCTAAAAGGTGAGGGGAAGACACTGTGGTTAGTTTAGGCTCAGTGGGAAATTTGAAGCTTTGGTTTGAATTGGAAGAATAGATTGCAGACTCACTTCTCCAGGAAAAAAGTGTCCTTTATGGAATCCAGTCTGTGAGGGAAGGTTCCAGTGATTGTCTTGTTTGGTGTTGGGTGGACGAGGTTTACTCAGACTGCGGTTGTTCCTAGATGAACGGAGAAGCTGACTGCCACTCAGATTTCCTGCGGTATTTGAACGGGCTGTGGTACAGATGAAACCCTTGCTCGGCGTGAAGCTCAAACTACCTCTTGGGGAAAGTGGATCCAAACTTCCTGTTTGGAGTGAACGGAGAAGCTGACTGCCACTCAGATTTCCTGCGGTACTTGAATGGGCGGCGGTGCAGATGAAAACTTTGCTCGGTGTGAAGCTCAAACAACCTCTTGGGGAAAATGGATCCAAACTTCCAGTTTGGGATCCCAGCTCAGTTAGAAGCTCAGTTGATCCTTCCAGAAAAAGAAGGTCCGAACAAATCCAGTTTGCAGGATGACTTCCAGCCGAAAGGCAAAGACAAGGACAAAGTTAAGACTCAGCTTGACAAAAACTCAGTTTGACTCAACGAAACTCAGCTTGGCTAGAGAACCCAAAACTGGCAAAACAAAAACTCAGATTAGACTCTGCTAAACTAAGCATGGCTTGAGTACCCTGTATTGGCAAACACTCTGGCCTCAAGGTAGTGGCAGTCAGCAGCTTAAGAATACTCCACAGGTAATGAGGCAATGAGCTGCAGGTGTACAGGGAGACCCACTGAGGACGGGGCACCACCTGGTGGAGGAGGAAAGGAAACACAAAAATAGACCACACAAACTGGATGTCATGATTGGCTTAAGAAACTTAACCCACATGCAGAACACTACTGGAAGCAGAGTAAAAGTTTAACAGAGTTTATTGAAAGGTTTTCACAAAATAGAACATGAACTGGTTCAGGCACTGGTCCGGGGCTGGATTCACTGATGTCTGCAGAGACGGATAGTTTGATTAGCCAGGCAGACGGATGGTTAGTTGAGTTTAGATTATTCTGAATATACCTTGAAGAGGTCCAGACTAATCTTTGTGAGAGAGGGAACCGGTTGGGTCCAGAGGCAGTTGGTTCAGCAGAGTGCTCAGCAGCAGCAGCGTCTAGCTTCTGACTTGTGAGTGGCAGACCTTGATTTGAATTTCCAGCTCTTCCTTGAGAGCAACAGGAGGAGTCCAGATTGAAATTTTCAGGTTTGGCTCCTTTGGCAGGCAGGCAGGTTTGCATGGGAAGCTCATCCAGAGCTTCTAGACTTAACGGGTTTCCTGAGAACAAGAAGACAGAGGCAGGTTAGAATCAGGTTTCTCTCTAGAGACAACTAAGATTATTTTTCAATAACAGAGGCTCAGGTTTGCTAACCAAACTTGGTCAACACTGCGGCGTTGAAGGAAGGTCTGGCTGCTGCTTATGTAGGAAGGTCTCCTGATGGGCTGACGAGCTTCAGGTGTGCTGGAGGCTCCAGCCCAGGAGACCCACGGCGCACTCTGCTGGAGAAAGGTGGTAAACCTCCAGATCCCAACAGTACCCCCCTCTCAACGACCGCCTCTTGGCGGTCCCGAGGATGTGGACGGGAGGGACTTCTCATAATAAATAAATGAGCCAGGAACCCAGGTGCGATCCTCCGGACCGTAGCCCTCCCAGTCGACGAGGTACTGCCAGCCGCGACCTCGCCGACGGGAGTCCATGATCCGGCGAACTGTGAAGGCCGGATGTCCATCGATGTCCAGGGCGGGTGGAGGGGAGTCGGAAGGTGGGCACAAAGAGCTTGTGACGACAGGTTTGATCTGAGATACATGAAAGGTTGGGTGGATGCGTAGAGACGGTGGCAGGTGCAGGCGGACAGCAGAGGGATTAATAATCTGGGCAATTTTGTAAGGACCGATGAATCGAGGTGAGAGCTTCTTAGACATGGCCTTGAG